GCTGCAATCAGCTGTGCACCCTCCCCGACTACACACCTGCTTTCCATCAAGCCATTTACAACGGCATATCAACGGAGGATCGTCAAGTATCAGCCGTATCTCGCGTCTCTCCTCCGGTACACAGCACCGTAGTGTGGAGTTGCATTAGGTAACGCGAGATACGGCGGATACTTGCGCATTAGTTTCTGTTATGGATCAGTATCAACAGTCCTGCCAGTAACGTTACTATATTATCAATACTACTTTAGTTATAGCCTAATATATGATTGCTAACTTTACAATGTTGTGATGTGACTGACGTTAGCTAACATTAACTGAAGCTAACGCCGGTCACTCACCAAGACAACTGCTCTGTTCTCCACTGGTTCTCCACACACCAAAGCTCCATTTCTCTCCGATGGCCGTTATTTTTTCTAATCCTTGGATGCTCCTGGTCTCTTGGACGCATAGCAGGCTCATAATTATAATCATATGCATTCGAATATATATTTTCAACCTCTTCTGTGTCAAAACTAGCATTGTGATCCATGTTTATTCATACGTTAAACCGGCCGCTCTCCCCCATGTTACGTCACACGCGGGAGGTCACGTGCGGAGGCTTTTTTATGCGGAAGTGAAAATGTCTTACTAAAACGACGCCAGATGTCGCTGTAGTGTATATTTCTGTATATGTTTGGGAAAATCTAGTGTATTCATCAATTTCCTACACATTTATTCACTGGTATCTCTAACTTGCAAGTTGCTCTTTAAATGTAACAGAGGTAAATATCTGATCATTTCAGTGAAGCAGGCACAGGAGAATTTCAGACTGTCCTAATGTAACTAGGGTAATAGGATTTATCAGGTGATACGGTACACAGAGGACTGTTTGTACCTCAGTGTGGGGGGGCTCGGGCTCAGGCATGCTGGGTCCGATAACCGTAATGCTGTCTTCACGGTCCTTCTTGTCCAGTAGACCGGCTGCCATCACTGCTGCCTGCTGCTCTGCAACCCGCGCTGCCAGCTCCTCCTGAAGCCCAGCAGGAAATGTCTTCTTTACAACACAGTAACACACAACCCCAACAAACAGACAACCAAGGCATAACAAATGTGGAATTATTTGTAAGATATCAATCAAAAAGCAGATACCATTCTGGCCTGTCTCTGAGCTCTGACATCAATCCTTTTCTGTGCAGCGGGGGTGGGTGGAGCAGAGTACACGGTGGGTGCCGCCTGGATAATTGATGGGGTAGGTTTGATGGGGGGCGGGGGTCCCTGTCTTATGGGCAGAGCCGACCCCATGGAGACCATATCACGGACCTGAGAGAGAAGGAGCAGACGCAAGATTTACAATTTCACCCCATGTGGAAAACAATAAGCAATGGTGTTGACCGAGAGAAACAGCACAGTGTCATTTGGGTTTATAGGAAGAGTTGAGACCTGAGGGGGGGCAGCCATGTGTTGGAGGGGCTGAGGAGCGCCCTGAGGTGATGGGCCCTGCATGGAAGGAGGCATCATCATGGGAGGAGGAGGAGGAGGCCGGGGCATAGGAGGTGCCATTGGAGGACCGCGCATCATCGGCATCCTCTGACCAACTGTCAACACAGGTAGAAGCAGAGGTTGATTCTTTGTCAACAACATCACAAACCCAAAGAGAGTTCCATGAAAGAAAGCATTTCCATATAGGTCTGATTTATTGATTATCCCCTAAAGATTACTTGGAACAATTCTCCTGAAAACTGCCAATCTTACCAGGTCTATGCAGGATATGAGGGACAAAGGCCGGTCTCAGCATGGGAGGACGCATCGGAGGGACTGGGACAGACAGGAGACACAGTGAGTGATGAACAAACATAGGAAATAGCAAATGTTTACATTTTAAAGAGGACATATTACGAAAATGCTCAGGTTCATATTTGTATTTTGTGTCTCTACTGTGATATGTCTCCATGCTCTAATGTTCAAAAAGCTCTTTATTTTTCTCATACTGCCTGTCTTTTCACCTTCTGTCTGAAACCAGAGCCCAGTCTGCTCTGATTGGTTAGCTGGCCGGCTCTGCTGTGATTGGTCAACCACTTAGAGATGTCCCACCCCTTAGCATAGCACTAACAATGTTTTGAAGTGCTAGCCAATAAAAGCACAAGTGTTACATAGTGATGTCACTATGTTAGAGAATTAAACAACGGAGTCTAATAGAGGCGTTTCAGGCGGCCTCTTTAATATTTATTGTGATTTGTAAAAAAAAAGATATTAGATTGTTAGGTTAATTGAACTCTTCGGCACACCCCTAACTTTAAATGATGATGAGCAGAGTACTTCCTACATTGTATGCTAATGCAAAAGCCTAGTTCAGGAATGTGGAGAGTTTATGTTCACCTGGACCGGCAAACACCGGGGGAGGACCAACAAAAGTAGCAGCTCTGGCATCTAATGTCTGCTGGACCTGAGAGAGTGAAGAGGGGGAGGGTCAGTAGACAAAATAATAGAATAATAATCTCAAGACATTGCCTCAATTAGTGGCTCTTTTTTCAGAGAGACTAAAAAGCCTTTTTGTTTCCAGGGATCTGTCACCTTACAGTGAGCAGGGTAGATAGGACATTACTATTCAGAATGATATTAGAAAAGTACAAACCTGACTGTAGGTGTTGGTCCCAATAATGGCTCGCATTACAGGGACAGAGAGAGCAACAGGTATTCCCTCCCCCATCACAGGGGGGCTCCCCGATACTGCCACCGGACCACCGAGGACCTCCTGCTCAAAACTAAAGCGAGACAGACAGTGTTAACATTGGTGAGAACACAGTCTTTTATAGGGTGCGCGACTAGTTAATTCCCTTCCGGGTGGAAGTAACATATTTTAAAAAACAACACACGAGCAAAAATTGAATTGCAGTCAAAGAAAAGCCAAGTGAAGTGGAGCCATAGAGTCAAACTGCAGAAAATACTACCAATGCTAGAGGCTAAACACACATTTGGTTCAATTATCAAGATTGTTGGCAATGAATTCCTTTTTGATTGACTTACAGACTAATGAATTTATCCTATTATTATTTGGCATCATCAAAATGATCATAGGATAAAGAGTTTGTTGGGTTAAAACCTGGCATCGAAGCGTCAGTGTTACTAATTGTTTTATACATACAACATATGCTTGAGGAAGGATACATCCTATCTGCCCCAGAGTGATCCCCTCCAATGCATTTCTTAGAATATGTGATCATTTAATCCTGTCATTTTCCAAAGTGACCTAATTGTATCAACTGGAACATCTGACGTCACCAAAACATCATCAGTACAACAGATACACACTTGGGGTGTGAGCCGGAGAAGGCTTATCATCTGGGTGTTAGGACCACCTGATGTTCACCTAGAATATAATTGCTGGTGTGCTAGGTAGAACTAGTATTAAACGTATGTGTTTTTGGAGAAGGGATCTTTGAAACGGTGGTACTCACAGAGCCATCTCAGCCTCCATCTCTTTCAGACGCTCCTCTCCCGACTTGAGCGCCATGCTGTGAGACGGAAACAAACAGAAAGCAGCCAAACAAAGTCTCAGTCAATGCTGTAACCGCTGAATACATAGATCAAATATGATCACTGCCAAACACCCCATTATTGTTAATAAGCCCACATAAACAGAAAGAGACCTTATAGATTGTAACGCACTTAAAAAAGGAGCAGTATTAGTTTGCACTGTGAATCATTATATCAATAATCACTTTAGGAACTTATTTACTAATACACACCTGTATAATGTAGACGCGTTTGGTGTGAACTGTTACCTCTTGCAGACTAAGCTTACTTAACACACTTTTAAGGCTGTTTAACTAAGCTAAGTGGAGTTAGCAACACACCAGAAGAAGCTAAGCTAAGTTAGCAGTGGAGCTAGCTCTGCTGAATCAACCAGCACACCAGTAATGGTAAGGCTTAGCACTGGGTGGTCAATATTACTAGGGCTGATAGTAAACCTACTGAACAAGAAGGGGAAAACATATTTAAATATAAAAATAAGTCTGCAGTAGCTGCTCTGCTTCTTCTTCTTCTTCTTCTGCTGCTTCTTCTTTGAGGTTTATTGACGGTTTGCCACTAACGATTAGATGCATCACCGCCACCTACTGTTCTGGAGGGGGGACCATTCTTCTTCTTTTTCTTCTTCTTCTTCTTCTTCTTCTTCTTCTTCTTCTTCTTCTTCTTCTTCTTCCTCTTCTTGTATTCAATATTGTGGAATTATAGCACTGTGTTTACATTGTTTTAAATTTTTCCAATCAATCCTGTACTCAAATACTTAATAATGGCCTTCCTGGTAGCTCTTACCCCCTCACCTTCTGTTCCCAGTATCCCCATCACATGTTGCAGTGTTATGTGTTCCACATTTTCTTTCACTCCACACCCCCTGCATTGTTCAACTTCGCTTTTTCCCATTATAAACATTGTGCCGTTTAATCCTGTATGATCCAGTCTGAGTCTAGTGATGGTGATCTCCTCCCGTCTGTTCCTTTCTGTACAGACCTTTATTATGACTGATTTATGTAGCTTGTGGTATCTCCTCCCTTTCTGATCTTCCTCCCACCTTTTCTGCCAT